ATACCAACATAACATCAATAAGCATCAACCAGTAGCCAAGAATTGTGGGCATGTCACTTGACCTGTCATGGTTCAGTGCTTTGGAATCCTAGGAGTTTGGTGAGGCCACATCACTCTTTGGCAAAGAAGACTGAAGACCTTATTAAAACTAAACCTTCCATGATTCCATAGTATTAACCCATGGTGGTTAAAGTGGTTTCAAACTGCATCAATTCTCCAGTGTAGATACACCTCAAGAAAACCCTACAAAATATGGGGTCACTGTAAGATGACACACAACTTGAAGAGATAGATACACCATACCTGTATGTTAAGTTATAAGGGATCATACGGTAGGACAGCTACATGGCATGGTGTACCATGTGAAGGTGAAAAAAGCTACCAATTCAGCATTCAGACAATTCCCCGTGAAGTGCAAGGGTTGTTCATATTTTTAAGATAGTTTACTCCGTGTGGAAAACAAATTCTGATCTTCAAATCTTAAATCATGTGGGGTGATGTTTTATTTGGTATTTTTTACAATTGCATTTACTATCTTTAGATACAGCAGACAAGTTTTTCATGTTTATACACATTTATTTAAACATTAACTAGACAAGTGCAATTCATTTAATTTGTAATACTTGCTGGTTTGTTATGTGAAAGTGAGTCAGTTTTTCCACCTGCTAGCCTGATGACCCAGGGCCCTTCCAGACAGGCCCTATATCCCAGGATATGATCCCAGGTTTTCTGCTTTAAACTGGATTATATGAGTCCTCAGTGCTAGATGATCTGAGATAAATAGAAAACCTGGGATCAGATCCTGATATAGGGCCCTCTGTGCCTTCTACCAAGCAGAACTGTAGCTCCATCTCACCTGGCAGTAGCTGACTCAGGCCTTTTCTATTCCTGCTACAAGATATTAAAAATGTTTCTGTATAATTTTGAATCATGTGGAAAATGAAGCTAGATACTGCTTAGGTAGATTGCAAAATCACCATGTATTTAAGCCTAGGCAATCAGTGAGTCCTGCAAAAACTTTATATAGATATGCCAAAACAGAAGAAATTATAAAATGAATTGATTCAAAATCAAAGCTCAGTGGAAGTACCTTCTAGAATAACTTGTGTGTCTTAGTTTATCTTTTCCTTTTAAAACATTCTGCTTCACAAGATTGATATGTTCATAGAATATGGGATAACAACAGAACACTTAAGACAATATATAGCAACGTAACGCCCAGTGGAGAAGTTCAGTTTATGCGTTTTACTACAAACATTTGCCTTATTTGGTGCTTGAGTTGCACAAGTGTATTGAGAGGATTTAAATCTCAAGTTATGCAGAATTTGTGAAGGAAATTATCATCATTGCCTTCTATTAAACCAACAAACAACCTTTTAGCACTTAAAACTAATCATCTTTATTTGGTATAAGCTTTCCTGGACACCAGCTCCCTTCATCAAATCATCGTTAGTCATCATCTTCCTACTCTTCTCCAAAAACTGATCCACTTACAGTTAAAAAAACCCACAACTAAATATGAAACATGAACATTAAACTAAGAAGCATGGAATCATGATGTAGGCTGGAGTCCACAATAGTTAATATCAAATAACATCTACTCGTTTTATAGGCACCACAAGATTCTTCACTTTGTTTTCTTATTTTGCAGCAACTGGCTAAGACATCTATTCAAAACTTTCTAACAAAATATACACATTTGCTTTCAGGAACATACAAAAAGAAGGTAACCATTCAAAATATGTAATAAAGCACCGTATTAATGGAGTTTAAGAGAAAGCACCACATAAACTTTGATACCGCAACCATTGTTAGAAGCTGTCCAGAATATTTCACAGAAGGTGGATTTCTAAAGGAACAGCATTTTATGCCCTGAGGAAACATGATGGGCAACACACACCTAGCTGCCATCAGAGTAGATCTAACTAAAGAAAAGAGAATTATGAATCCTGGTTTTACTATACCTGCAGCGTACTGACATGTGCCACTGTGTTATTCAAAAGGGTGGATCATCATCCCATCCCTGCTATGAAAAGAACATAGGAAGAACTGTAGAATTGTGTGGGCAAATCCTATTGCTCTGGTAGAAATTTTCCTCATCATGTGCACAACGTTAGGCCCTGACTAGTCCTGAGATCTTTCCAACGTCTGTGCTCGCATATCGGTTTGTTTTGAGATCCTGTGCCATCTGAATCAATGGTTGATGGGGGCAAGCCCATATGACAGTACATCTCCTCTAGCAGGTTCTGTTAACATGGGCATTATGGACATTTGTGTGAATGGGCCAAATGAAACACGCAACAAAACACAAGCAAACAATGCAGATTCTAGTAGATCACTTTTTCATGGTCAGTTTTCTTTTTTTAAAAAAAATACACCAGTAGTGAAGCACTCCAATTTTCTCAGTTTCATCTAGAAACTCCAAATCTAGATATACAAGCCATATTTCTGTTTAGAAAGCTGTGGCAGTCAGTTGAATGACATTGCCCAGATCAACATTTCTCCAATAAGAGCTCGTGTGCTGCTGTTTCATAATCTCATTTTAAAGGTTAGCCTAAATGTTAAAACTGTCACATGGAGAAATCTCCAAATGGGAGAGAATCCACACTTAGGGTGGCTTTGTCCATGGATTCCAAACACAGGATAGATATGCTGTGATATCCAACACTAGGAGTACTTGGTAATACTCTTTCTTCTAGTGGGAATGATCTCTCCCACATTGTGGGATGCTTTTCATTCCTTGATTGGATGAGGACCGTCACAAACTTTTTCAGTCACAGAGCCCTTTAAAGCCTTAAAACTGTGTTTATATCTTATATTATATCTTATATATTACGCACACAAGGTGCCTAAAAATGTCCCAGCCATCTTGGAGATGAAGGACATTTGAAATGGGTTCTGGTTGAAGGCTGTAATGTAAAGCAAACCTCCATTCACATCAACCAAATGGCAAGCTGCCTTAGTTGATAGGCACTAGATTCATGTTACAAGGTGATCAAATTATTACATGGCAGTTGTTGTCATTGGTGTTCATACAACAACTTAAACGGATAAGGCTGCAAGTCAGCTGCAATGTGTCCAGAAACCAAAAACAACGCAGAGAATAAAAATACACAATTTTCCTAAATACCAAGAGCTATTTCATGCTTTGCCCAGCTTCTTATGGCATGTCAGTCACAGGCTTTTGAATGTTTGGAGATGCTTGACTCTCATTCACACATTACAATATTTGGTACTAAAATGCTAGCATACATGCAGCAAGCCCTTTAAATTTGCATCATCTGCCAGATGAACAAAGTTTGGGAGAATATGCATTTCCTCCATCCTCCCCATCAAATACACACATGCACGCCTGTTAAAGCTATAGTTAGACGCCTGTTACAGGGATGTGGAATAGCATGGTGTTGGACTAGTAGTTTGGAAGACAAGGGCCTGAAACTCAATGGTTGATCTTGGGCAAGTTACATTTACATTTTCTCAGCCTATGATCGCAAACTTCTGAATAAATCTTGTCAGGAAAACCCTATGAGTGGGTTGCCATAAGTCATAGCTGACTTGAAGGCACATAATGATAGAATTATAAACAAGATCAGAAGGCAAGCTGTGACATTTTGGACCTTGACCTCCATTTGTCTGTGTTTGTCTCTATGCGTGCCACTCCAAAGCACATTTTCTCATGGCCATGCTATATTTTTCCTGCATGGATATAGAGAAAACTGTTTACAAAGCTTCTGCACCAACACAATGAACTCATATAAAATAGCCTATCTCTGTGGTCTGCAGAAAAAGGCTAGTACTTTGTGTTGCTATGGTTGCTGACTAAAAGCTTTCTGAAATTTCTGCCTGGAAATAAAGAAGGAGGTTCAGTGCCAGCAACTAGCTAAAAGTTGCTTGCTTCTAACATGAAGTTGGCTTGGTGAGTGTTAGTGTTGCCGGGAGTGATTTGGAGAATGAAAAACAAAACAAAACTGAAACCATAACTAAATCTGTTAGGATTTTTTTTCCTGTGTAAGCCTAATTTTTCATCTTAATTCAGCAACTTCATGTTTATGACCTGCTTTAGTCTGTGGTATCTTGAAGACTAGTGTTCCCCAACATGAACACCTCATCATAACACTCCAGACTCTTTACACGTATGACCTTTCACTTATTATTTCATCTAAAAAAATTATTTCTTAAATGTTTTTGAAATACCTTGTGTGCAAAGTGCATCCAATACACAATGTTGCAGCTTGTGTGTAATCTAGTAAGTACCCAAAGCAAAAATGATTATATGTAAAAGGTAGCAAATATATGGTATTAAATCCTAATTTTCCTTTTTAAAAATAATAATAGTGACAATTATTTTTCTTTTCTCAGTTAAGAAACCAGAATATAACTAAGTGGGATGAAGAAAGGATTGTACAATTACTTACAATACTGAGTTTTCTCAGTTACAGTACCAGACTGCAGCATAGCAAATGTAAACTGCCTCCAAACATAGAAGCTGACTTGCAGATCTCTCACAAACACAATGTTCTTTGGGTTGTTATGAGTTTTCTAAGCTGTATGGCCATGTTCCAGAAGCATTATCTCCTGACGTTTTCCCCACATCTATAGCAAGTATCCTCAGAGGTTGTGAGGTCTGTTGGAAACTAGGAAAATGGGGTTTAAACATATGTGGAATTTCCAGGATGAGAGAAAGAACACTTGTCTGTTGGAGGTAGATATGTATGTTTCAATTGGTCATCTTAATTACCAACATTCACCCCTACCTCAAGCAGGCAAGAGTTCTTTCTCCCACCCTGGATATTCCACAGATATATAAACCACATTTTCCTAGTTTACAACAGACCTCATAACCTCCGAGGATGCCTGCTATAGATGCAGGTGAAACGTCAGGAGAGAATGCTTCTGGACCATGACCATACAGCTCGGAAAACTCACAATAACCTAGTAATTTTGGTCATGAAAGCCTTCAACAATACAATGTTCTTTCTCTGCAGTAGCAATGTCTTCCATTTTTTCAGGACAAGGCAAAGGTAAAAGTGTTTAATAAAGTCAGGTTTGCATGTTTGCTAACAATGCCCAAAGCCCTACAGTTATATTAAACATATCACTGAAAATAAGCTCTTTGCATGTGTACCTTAATTTGCAATCAAACAATACTGTATATACTAGCCGTTACAATCCACCTAGTATTGTTCTGTGGCTCATTGCAAAAGCGTCTGGCTATGTCCTTGTAACCAGTTGTGGAATGACTACATCAGCTGCTGAGACCTGGCAGACTTCAGTGGTTGATGGCATTGCTTAATGTCTGGCTATAGGGACACAGAAAATGCACTCTCTTCTAGGCATGAACAGCCTTGGTTGAGGGGTTTCAGCAGCTCCTTGGTAGGTCCAAAAAGAATAGCATAGTTCCACATTGGGAATTACTACACGATGCCGAGCCATGCAGGCTTGCAGCAAAAGACAGCTTACAGCTCCCAAATCTAATGTAATAATGTGTTTCAAATGGATGACAAAGTAACATTTTGAGGACAATTGAGATCTTGATTTTTAAGTGACAGCATGAATATGCATGCTCCCTCCAGACCATTTCTATATATAGGACATGGATGTGAATCACGTAGAACTCCTGATGTGAGATAAGAGTGATGGTATATGCAATCCTGCATTTTCTGGAGAACCACATGATTCCCAGTCCCAAATAAAGGCAAGTGTCAAGCATGGCACTTTTTACCAAATGTTGCATTTCAACTTTAATTATGATGTAATCAACTTTGGTCATATTGGCCAAATATGTAAATAGTATTTTCGAAAGGCTAATCTTCTACTTGGCATCTCTTTGTCTTTTAAATGGAAAATCATCCCTTTTAGGAGCTCACACATATAAGGTCATTTGCCATGTGTGAAGCAACCATCCCAAATCAGACACCCTATTTTGCGATTTTGTATCAGCTGCCTTCATATAAAATGCTCCCTTTCCCATGGACACAATTTCACTTGTTCACCTGTTTAAAAGTGATAAAGACACGAGGTAAGTCCCCCTTTGATCTCCTGATGCTGATAAAGTCCATCTCCACAGCCTTGTGTTGCTGTAAGTCCCCAATGCTCTCATAGTCATTCATTAAAGCCTCGTGACATCCTTGTGTTGCTGCAAGTCCCCAATGCTCTCATAGTCATTCTCTTGTGAGAGGGTCGATTGGCTGCTGTGTGGGACCAAGCCATTTCTGTCTTCATCGCGATGTACAGTCTGAATCGCTTCATAGTCTGGCTCTAATTCCCCATTTAGTCTTTCTCCTGACTGAGAAAAGGTAGTTATGTTTGGGGTATTTTCCAAGTCCTTCACACTAGCATAGAGGCCACTGCAAATTGAGGGCGACTTTTGAGGTGCAATTTCCGGAATACATGTGTATGCAGGCTCCAAGTCTCTGGTGGCCAACCCTGGCTTATTTACAGAGGAGTACATTGCTGAAATCTAGAACAAGATGGGTGGGAAAGGGAAAAATAAATTAAGTAAATAAAAATAACACAATTTTTCCTCAGACTACTGCTTTATAATTCACTGCTGTTGTATAATTTCCAAGCACTTCAAATGTAACAATACAAAAATATGGTTACTTGTTCATAATCAAGTTTTCAAGTTGGAGGCAGACTGTGGTGGTTTAACAAACTCTGTAGTATTTCTATTGCATCATATGAGTGATGGATAGGGACAAGAGAAAAACTGCACCGTGAACCTACTTGTTCTCACACATGGTTTATTAGACTAGTGTTGCTATACTTCAACCAAGCTGCAAAAGAAAACAATTGCTCTCCCTAGTGGGAGAGAAAGCTTTCCACGCTGCTCGCGTTCACTTGTTCTTATGAACTGGAATTCACGTTACAGATGTCATGTTGCTTAACAAGCACTTGTATGTTTTGCTGTCAAACACACGATTATAAATACTCTCTATTCTTTGGTTAAACCATTTTAAATGTTACAGTCAGGGAACTGTGGGCAGCATTCCTGCAGTGAGCATCATATATTGTTTGACTCTCAATCACTCTGCAAGTCTCTGGACATGGCCGTGGACGATTTTTGTAAGACATTTTGTTCTTTAAAAAAGAAATAAGGGCCATTCCATGCCAAGTGGTCCAAACCTGAGTAAATGGATACTTAATGGTCACAACATATCAGTCTTGTAGAGGAATTTTTTTTCTTTCATATGATACTATTCACAAACATATTCAGGTGGACGCTTTTTAAATAATTGGCTTTGAATAGTAGAGTTTACTATTTGCACCAAAAGTGCCAAATTTGAAGAGATCCTGCAGGGTGGTTATAGACAGATGCTGGATAGTTGCAAATCTGTCCAGCACAAGCACAATGCTTAGTCAAAATTTCAAGTCCCTATCTTTGTTTGTATGGAAATTGTTGCAATCTGAATATTGGTCAAAACTTGTCACGATGAGTTGTGACACATTTTGATGCACACTTTGAGTCAACTTGTTTGACTGGATTTTGCACCCATAATGTTAAAATTAATTTCATCGGAACGAGCAGAAGAAACACTGTACAGGATTTCAATTTACTAGCCCTTCTTATACATTTAGTTTCAATTTTATTAGACCTCAAATATTGCATTTTGTTAAATGTCTTGCACATGCTGACTTACTACCCTTCAGATAAGGGGGTCTAGATCAGCAACTGTTGCAGTTAGAGACCTCTAATTTTGGGAAACTCAGTTTAACACCTGATTGATGCTAAAGCTAAAATTTGAACAAACCTGGAGAATATGATGGCGGGAACTTTTTTTTTAAATTGGCATGGAATGACCCATAAGGCAGCATGCACATGGAGGTCCAAATTCTGTTGGCACACTGTGCCAGAAAATGCACTTTCTTGTGGGTCAAACAGAAAAGACAGACAAAAATATGCTGGCCATAAGCAGACAATTTACTCAGGGCCAGACTTTCATCATGAGTGTTGTACTCATGCCACCTTTCCTCCTGCCACCAACACATATGCTAGTGAAGTTATGTTGCCATTTCAGGCACCAAGAGGATTTTAGCTGGAATGTGCTTGTCTATGTGACTCCAAGGGTTCTGACCTTGGTCTTAAATTTTTTCTTTGGCCTAAATGGATGAAGTACTACCTAACAACCCTATTTTTTCTCCCATTTCACAGTTTATCTGCCCACGCCAAACCATTGTTTGTCACATGAAAGGTTTGTACTATGAATGCCAAGGTTTAGTAAAATGGACTTTCATTTTATAACTATTTTAATAAAACATTGTCACTTGCTCTTGTAGAATAATTAATAAACTGTTGTTGTATGATGACAAAACTATCATCATCATCATCATCATCATCATCATCATCATCATCATCATCTCGCTTTTCTCCCATGGGTGGGATTCAAAGCAGTGTACAATGGTTAAACGACAACAATACATAATATAAAAAAAAGGATCCTAGAAATGTCTAGACCTAAATTACAGTCCTACAAAAGAGTTGATCAAATTCTAGGTAAATTCCAGTGATTCAATGGGGTTATTTTATTTGCCATTAACAATTGCATTTAAGAGTGTGTAATTTTGGTTATATTTCATCTATAGGTTTGACTGCAGTTATAAAACATTCCTGAACTGACAACACTCATTCTGGTAAAAGAAATCATTCTATAATTCAAGCAATGAGCAACCCACCTCTTCTTCTGTAAGTGAGGGGTCATCTTCTCGAGATTTGTAAGACAATGAACTAAGCCTCTGAAAAAATAGAGGAAAACAATTCTTATTAACAAGGAAAAGTGGCAAAGACACATCCCTAAGAATAAATATGTCCTAAATGGGTACTTGTATAACTATTTCAAAATTAGAAAAAGCCAACAATGCTATTTTGGAAATTATTTGTCTACAGTCAAGCAGAGTTTTGGGATGTTACAGAGCCTTTGTTATCTGTGTATAATGATGGGTGAAATGATCCACTAATGGCATGGCCTCTAGGATGTTTGGGCTTTTACCGATATGTGAACAATCAGTAGAAATCTATATATGTGAGCGAAATAATAACTCATTTGCAATGTTTAATGAATAATTCTAGAATAACCAGTCACTACTGAAGTGAATTACACAATCAGTTTTATAATTTCAAGTTTTTTCTCTGAAGATCGCGAAGTGCAAATGTTGCTCTGCTTGGCAGCACAAAGACAGAACTGTCATTAATGTTTAATTGCTCACTGTAGTTAATTTCCCTAGATTTACAGAATTTTTCTTTAGAACAGGGTACCCCATCACACCCCAACTACAAACAATTGCCCTTAAATATTGCCCAATATCCTCTAGGAGCAGGAGAGGGCGTTTCATCAATGTTAACCTGGGAATGTGGAGATTTTGATACAGCGTACTTAGAGGTAATCCAGATATTCTAAATGGTGTGGTCATTTTATGTCCTGATAAAAAAAATCCCAACATAATTCAAGGGTGTCTTTAAAAAAATAGCGCCAACATGTCAAGTTCTATCTATCTATCTATCTATCTATCTATCTATCTATCTATCTATCTATCTGTCTGTTACAGACTCAAGAATCAAACTACAAAATAGGGATCATGTAAAATATCTTCTTTTCTCCACTCAACAATGTGCAGGCAAGCCACACTGAATCCTAGTATTGGGGGGTTGGGGGATGACAACACTGATCCTGTTTGTGTGAAAAAGTGTGTGCTTTAGGAAGAGGAGCTACAACCTAAGATAGCTATATAATTTGATCCAATATGTATTGCTATATACACTTATCTAAGAGTAATGACCTTGAATAAACAACAATAGCTGTAATTGATATGCATAGCGTAGATGGTTGAGATACCACACTTATACATTGCTCCATAGACACGATTCCATGTTTTCCCACTGCCTAGTAGCAGTTATTTCCCAAGGGGGGGGGGCACCTTGTGCTGTTGCATAATGGTGGGGAGAGGAAGGTGGGGTTCAGATCATGGAACAGAAACCAATCTCACTCAGCTTTCTCATGAAAGTGGATCAGAGAAATAAGGATACACTCTCATACAATATGAACACATGCTTTTCTTTTCCTCTTCCTTCAGGAGCTTCAAACAGACAGATAGATGTGGTCTGAATCACCTCTCCTTTGGCACATAAAAACAGCAAGTAAACCTCTTGGGAGGTTTGCCACTGTTGGGATGTGGGAAGATTTGGACAGAGCACAGGGGAAATTGAATTGCCTTCTCTGACCATTCCAAAATGGGACTTACGAATGCACAAGTGATTAGAAGGATACTATCCCTAATGCTTATTAAAAAAGGCAATTGTTGTGCATGTTGTCTTCAAACACAATATAAAACAGGAACACAGATAACCCATTGGTCCATCTGACTCAATATAGACTCTCTCTGGGTTTTCAAATAGACCACTTTCCAGACCTACCTGAAGATACCAGAATGTAAAACAAGTAGTATGCAAACTCTACTGAGGAAGACCTTTTCATTCATTCACACACACACATATGCACAACAAATGTTTTATATTTATTAATACACATTAGTATTAACACTTTCATATTACATAAATTCTGCAAAAAAATTATTCACAAAAACTGGTATTCCCCATTTCTTATCTGTGTGTATATGTATATATACATGTGTGAATGTGTCTATGAATTTCCATCTAGCTCCACATCTTTGTACTCACTCGGAACAGCTCTCTAGTGTTCACAGAGTATTAATTTTTAATCAGCAAAGTCATGAGATTTGTGTCCAAGATTCTTACTCTCTCCCATTTTTTGTGTTTGGTGGCCAACTACTGATGACACTTGCATGAGTTGGTTCCGCTCTTGAACAAGAACATATTAGGGGAAAAGATAGATTCATTAACAACTTGTTGGGAAGTGATAAATCATTCTGTACTGACAACGATGGAAAAATAATCATTATGCAAATGTCTGCAAACATTTTAGAACTCATTAATTTTTTAATACTCTTGGAACAGCCGCCAAATGCATACAATTTCCTTCCCTACTGTAGCTATTAGAATACTATCTCATGCATATCCCTTGCGTGTATATAACACACAGCTAAGGCACATAGGTGTACCTGTTGTCCATGTTTATAAATTCATTCTTTTCTTTAGTCAGAAGAAATTGCTAGAAAATTTCTACCACCATTGGTAAATAAAGAAATTCACCTTTATTTCTATCCACTAATGACAGAAAGGATTTGCTATTGCAGCCTTGAAAACACTGAGAACAAGTCTCAACTTTTTATAAGAATTATCAAGCTGGGCTTTAGCACAGCTGATAAATTACCAGCAATGATAATATCTAGCAACCGAAAAGTTGCCAGTTCAAAGCGTGAGCTCCTGACTATCAGCCCAGCTTACTGTTGACCTAAACAGTTCAAACACAGCTTGAGCTGTAAATAGAGAAATTAGGAACCGCTAAAACAAGCAGAGGAGGTATTGTACAACACCATAAAGAAAAAGATCAGAAATGGCCCAGTGACCAAAAGGAATGTGGAAGTTCTGATGGCTCTTTCTCATAGAGGATGGCGCAACAGTACCCCTGTGGCTGGATTCGAGCACAACCTCCAAGGTGCCAACAAGCTGGACGTTGCACAACATACCTCCTTTCTGTTCTGTTGTTTCTGTCTCTCTTGTCCTGTCTATCCAAAACGGCATTGAATGTTTGTCGTGTATGTGTACTCTTATCCACCCTAAGTCCCCTTGGGGAGATAGGTCAAAATATAAATAAAGTGTTGTTGTTGTTGTTGATATTATTTTTATTATTTTTTAAGTTAAGATTTACCTTGTCAGGGTCACTGGGCCCTTCAGTTGCCTCTTTCTCCTCCTCGACCTCCTTCTCCTGTACATTTTCATTTTCATCAAGGAGTTTCAGGGGCACTGGAGGCGGTGGTTCATCTTCCACGTCTGGAGTGTTGCTAAGAGGACTCTCTGAATTTGCACTCTGGCGGCTTTTTTTATTTCTGTCAACTGAGGCATACTCTGCCGATTCAACCTTGGGTGCCAGAACATGGCCTAGACTTCCATTAACAAGCACTGCAGTTTTTGGCTTGCACTTCTCTGTGCTGGATGTTGCTCCCAGTTCTTTAATTTCCTTCACAGTTTCATACAAACAGTCTTCAACTATGTTTTCTTGGGAGGAGCTGTCTTTCAGCACTTCGTAAGGGCCCTCCATTCCCAGACCCTGATCATTTTCTGTACTTCTGGTAGACAAAATAGTGTCTATGGCATTATTTGGAGGAATCCTGGGGAGCTCCCTGCTCTGATGGCATTTCAAAGACCTCCCCAGACTGTCTTGTGGTTCCAGAAGGTCTGTGACAGAGGTCTGTACTTCTTCATAAGGCTGGATACAAGCAGTTGTACTATCTTCAGAAAGAACTAGGAGAAAAATATGTAGATGTATAGAATAAATGGCTAAACAGAATTATAGGACCACTTGACCAACACATGGCTATCATAAAAGAACATAATAAAAAACTCTAAAATTATAAAAGTAAATAAAGAACAAAACTCAAACACAGGGGAACTCCAGACAAGAAACAATCAGGAACAGCTAATCACCTCTCAACAAAGGATTCCCCCATGCAGGAACAAGCCACACCTAAAAACTGTAAGGTCATCAAATGCTAATCAAGGTGGCCAATTGTAACATTCACACCTAGCTCCAACAGACAAGAGTTCTTTCTCCCACCCTGGACTTTCCACAGATATATAAACTCAATTTTCCTGGTTTCCAACAGACCTCACAACCTCTGAGGATGCCTGCCATAGATGCAGGTGAAATGTCAGGAGAGAATGCTTCTAGAACATGGCCATACAGCCCGAAAAACCTACAACAACCCATAAAAGAACATATTTTTTCTGATTCCAAAAGCAAATACTACACCAGGCAAAGAAAAAAAGAGGGGGAAAGAAAATCTAATAGGACAAAATGGATGCAAAACTGTGGCTTTGCTAACTGGACAACTAGTGGTACTGTCCAGCTTGCTATTCTTACTATCTGAAGATGAAATTAACAGCTACCCAAAGCTGGAAGATTCAAAAAGGTGTAAGCTTATTTCAACATGGTTGTATTTACAAATTCTGATCTCTTTGAAGTCGGTATTAGATAATGTCTTGATCGACTACAAGTAGTGATTTTCTTGTCAAAAAGAACCCTTGGAAACAGAGATGGCACGACTTAAGAAACACCCCTTTCTAGACATTTTAATTGCACCCAGACTTTCACTTTAAATGCAACACCACTTGGCAAGAAATTGTGCATAAAATTATCAAAAGACAATGGTTCATTACCTAAATAATGGTTTCTCTGTCTTCAGGTGCGGTAGCATTTCAAAGTTATTGTGACTTATATTCACCTATCAAGACCTAGTGGCTAACCTTATGCACCCAACTTAGTTTAAAAGTTATTTTGGTTAGGGCCTTGTACTAGCCTTAAAGATGCAGTGACAGAGAAATACACTGGAAAGGCAAGAAGAATATCAGGTGTAGGGATATAGCTTGTTTGTTTTATTTAATGAACATCTTGTAGAACAGATGAACTTGCTTCTTACATTAATTAAGAATGAGTTTAAAGGGCCTTTTCCATTTTTATTCTGAAAAGTTATTTCAGAGACCAAATGGACTACAATGAATTGGTTGTTATTGCCACCAGATAATGCAGCTTGAATTCGTATAGTCAGCCTTCCTAAGGTTGATTGCCTACAGTTATATTGGACTAGACTAGAGTTCTCATCCTAATAGACATACGTAGATAAGGGTTAAGGTAAAGATTTTCCCCTGATATCAAGTCTAGTCGTATCCGAATCTGGGAGTTGGTGCTCATCTCAATTTCTAAGCCGAAGAGCCGGTGTTGTCCGGCTCTTCCAAGGTCATGTGTCTGGCATGACTGCATGGAGGGCCATTTCCTTTTCGCCAGAGCAGTACCTATTGATCTACTCACATTTGCATTTTTTTGGACTGGTAGGTTGAGGCTAACAATGGGAGCTCAACCCGCTCCCCGGATTCAAACTGCTGACCTTTCAGTCAGCAAGTTCAGCAGCTCTCCAGTTTAACGCACTATGCCACTGGGAGCTCCTTCTTATGGACACATATGGAAATGAGAGCACATCATTTGAAATGAATAGACAAAGAATTAAGAAAATGATATTAATATTACATTAGAAATCAAAGCTTACCATCACCATTACTGAGTCCTCCATTCTGTTCACTACTAGCCAGTGGATCTGTAGCTAGACTTGTGACTGAGTGACTAAATGCCTCTTTATCTGAAGGCTACAAAATAAAACATATATTTCATTTGATCAGATCGGGGCATGAGTTTTTACTCATAAGTATTATTATAGAATGTTGTTTTGGATAGTCCATGAATATCATAAATATTTTAAGTAATTTTCTCTTTATAATGAACTCAATTTCTTACATGTCTGATTGTTTCGACTGGAAACCAATTCACTTTGAAAATGAGCGCCCCCACCCCCATTTTAGGATACCAAAGAAAAGCTTCTAGTATATACATTTATCTCTCTTTCTAGAAATGGTTAATGGAAATTATCAACTATGATATATGATACATTTAAATGGTGATTCCAGATGTGGAGGATAAACCTTATAAATAAAATAGGAATCACAACACAATTACTGACAGAACGTGGAATCTGGAGACACCCCCCTCCCCCAAATCTCTGTGTACGATCTAAATCTCACATTATTCGCAAAGGTCTATAAAACACATGTGTAACTCCTGCCCTTCACATTAGAATGTATTTGTAGTGAGTGTTTAACTGCATTCTCCCAGATGACATTGAGCTAGAACAGCCATTAGCCCTAGCCAGGACACCAATATACTGTATATACTCAAGTATAAGCTGAGTTTTTCAGCGCTTTTGTAGGCTGAAAAAGTTCCCTTCAACTTATATTCAAATCAAAGTTATTAATTATTTTACTCTGTTGTTATTACATTTATCATTTTACTCTATTTATTGTTATTATTATTACATTTACATTATTTTACTCTATTTATTATTATTACATTTATTATTTTACTCTCTTTGTCATTATTACATTTATTATTTCTCTATTATTACTGTTGCTATTACGTTTCCATTATTTTACTCTATTATTCTTATTATTATTATTTAATTACATTTATTATTTTACTCCTTTTATTATTATTGGAAGGGCACGTAAGCTCATTTACATTGAAGAAGGCTAGAATAATGGTTTAATCAGAGTTGGACAGTCTTATCTTAAATTACAGTTTTACGTAAATATTACCTACGGATGCCTCAATTAATGTAATTTTATTGGTAACTATTTTTATTTTGAAATTTACCAGTAGCTGCTGCATTTCCCACCCTCAGCTTATACTTGAGTCAATACATTTTCCCAGTTATCTGTGGTAAAATTAGGTGTCTTAGCTTATATTCGGGTTGGCTTATACTCAAGTATATGCAGTATATATACTTTTATCACACCTTAGTTTGAGCACTTGCAACCAGCTTTTTCCCTGATCAGCTATGAAATCAATGGTTAGTCTTAGAAGGACACACTTGACTTACATATAAAATGGGAATTTTGCTCTTTACCACTTTTCTTATAAGGTGTACAATGCATGAGAAAGGAAAGGAAACTAAAGGTCCATCTACACTGACAAATTAATGCAGCTTGGAGCTAGTTTCAAATTGCGGTGGCTAGACAATAAACTCCCACAAAAGTACATGAAATAAAGCTCTTAATGGGCATCTGTAGTTTGTGTAATCACCATCAGCGAAATCTTGCTTTGATACCAATTTAAAATTGACTAAAATGGCCTGTGGAGATGTGCCCAAGGATGGTATGTTTAAGCTGTCTCCAATATTCTAAAGTACAAAAAGCCACTTGCAAATAATAAGTAATTTTTATTTTTACCACATTCATCAGATTTTCATGGTCGCCATTCAGCTGCTTGGGCCTCTTCTCCCTTTAATGCAATAATGTTTAGGCATGTTATTAAAATAGTCCCAGTATGTGTCAATATCCAGCAATAAGATTAAATATCTTGGCAATGTTTACATAATACCAGAGATGGGTTGTTGTGACCTCACAACCTCTGAGGAAGCTTGCCATAGATGCAGGCGAAATGTCAGGAGAGAATGCCTTGAGAACATGGCCATATAGCCCGAAAAAACCTACAACAACCCAGTGATTCTGGCCATGAAAGTCTTCAATAATACCAGAGATGAATGCCAAACTTCAATTTTACACCAGTGGCTCTTTCAAGTATTCAAGTTAAACTGCTGGTGGTGCTCTTTCATGTTAGTTTAGCCTGGTAAGTAATAATAAAAAGTCAAAAAGAAGCACATTCCCTATTTGTACCTACATTCTAGGTTTATTTTAAAATCTGACACTTTCCTTTGAAAACACAGAATTGTAGAAACAAAGCACTGGAAAAGACCACAAGAGCCATCCAGCCCAATGCCCTGCTATGCAGAAATCAAAGCACTTCCAATTGATGTCCATCCACTTACTGTTTAAAACCTCCAAAGATGGAGACTCCACCACATTATGAGGCATATACAATTATAAATGGTAACGGCCGACAGGGAGCTCTGGCGTGGGCTGGTCCATGAGGTCACGAAGAGTCGGAGACGACTGAACGAATGAACAACAACACAATTATAAAACAGCTCATAGCGATGTTTAGGTAGAACCTTTTTTCTACCTAAATCTATTGCTCAGTGTCCTAATCTCTCAAGCAGCAGAAAATAAGATTGCTCTATCTCCAAAGCAGAACAGAATGGTATTATTACTTCCTTCTATCTGGACCAGGCCAGCACAACTTAGCCATAGTAAGTGGATGAAATTGAATAGGCTAAACTTTTTTGGACCGCAGACAGGTTCTTAGTGCCTCTCTCTGGGTTTCTGAGAGGGAGCCTTTCTCTCAGAGCAAGCAGCAAAGCAAACTAGCCTCAATTTCTCTGCTTCCCTTCAATGTGGTGGCAGGTAGCAGTCCATTTCTAAGGGAAAGAAGAAGTGTTTCAGGTCTTGTCTCTGCTGCTCTTCCTTTCTCTCTGCCTCTGGGTTGCCTCTGTCATCTCCTTCTCCTCTGGAGGGAAAAACCACCAACTTTGCCCTGTTAATTTCCCTCATTTCTGAGGGAGAAACTTAGCTTTGCTATGAAGATCCCATACATAAGATTCTTCCTCACAAGGAAAGGAAATGAACAGTGAGAAGTTGGTGGTTTTTTCCACTGGAGGAGGAGATGACAGAGGCAGCCCAAAGAGAAAGGAACAGCCGCAGAGTCAGGTTTCTCCCTCACAAGCAAACTGAACAGAGTTAGTAGTTTTGAGAAGGAGACAACAGAGGCAAAGAAAAAGGAAAAGTGACAGAGGCAAAAACAGAGGCTCTTCTTCTTTACTGCCTCCTTCTCCCTCTAAAATGGTCAATCTAGTGTTAAATTTTAATATAACCTGGAGCCCAGGATTCCACCTGGCTCGAATAAAGGTCAGTTGAATAAAGCACCCCTGACAAATGGCAATCCAGCCTCTCAAAGAAGGAGCCTCCGGGACAGAGGGCTCCACTGTTGAACAGCTCTCACAGTTAGGAAGTTCTTCCTCATGTTCAGGTGGAATCTCCTTTCCTTGGGTTTGAAGCCCTTGTTCTGTGTCCTAGTCTCCAGGACAGCAGAAAATAATCTTGCTCTGTGCTCCCCATGACTTTTCCTCACATATTTATACATGGCCATCATGTCTCTTCTCAGCCTTCTCATCTTCAGCCTAAACATGCCCAGCTCTTTATGCCGCTCCTCATAGGGCTTGTTCTCCAGACCCTTAATCATTTGAGTCAGCCTCCTCTGGACACATTCCAGCTTGTCAACATCTCCCTTCAATTGCAGTGCCCAGAATTGGGCACAGTATTCCAGGTGTGGTCTGACCAAGGCGGAATAGAGGGGTAGCAGGACTTCCCTGGATCTAGACACTATACTCTTATTTATGCAGGCCAAAATCCCATTGGCTTTTAAAGCTGCCTCATGACATTGTTGCCTCATGTTTAACTTGTTGTCCATGAGGACTCCAAGATCTTTTTCACACGTACTGCTCTCGAGCCACGCGTCCCCCATTCTGTATCTTTGCATTGCATTTTTTTCTGCCTAAGTGGAGTATCTTGCGTTTGTCACTGTTAAACTTCATTTTGTTAGTTTTGGCCCCTCTCTCTAATCTGTTAAGATCATTAAGCTGACAGGCAAGGTCAGCTCTGGTAAGTATTTGCATGAGAGGAGCAGGTATGGTCACCTATATTTCAGAGCAAGGAAGTGACAAACTACTTCTGTGTGTTCCTTGTTCAAGAAAGTCCTATGAAATCCTTGGAGTTGCCATAAGTTGTCAGGAGACTTGAAGGCGCATAGTCTGCTAAAACAGCAGTCTGCCTCAAAAACACCATTCCACAGTAAAGGTGTTAGCATTTCAGACACCAATGATATCCTGATTTTCTTTCCCTGAAAAAAGATAACATAGCTGTCTGCTCTTTTGGAATGAAATCCTTTGTAGTGGTATTGTGTAACTCCTGGAACATTCTTACAAATAGACATCAAAAGGAATGCTTAGTGTTTGTTTCAAATTATCTGTTGCTCTTGGCATTTTGCAACATGTTCTGCATGTGGAACACTCTACTGGCTTGGAAAAAGGAAGAACAATAGAAGACAGACAGACCTCTGCGTGTTTTGATAAAAACCGAATAGTCTTGACCACTGTTCAAAGTATGAGTTAGAAATAGGGACTTATTAATGGGAAACCACGGGTAGAACGATTTCCTATGCCACCCTGAGTTCACCTTTGGAAAACTTGCTCAATGGGATACTAATATGGAGCATGGTAAAAGTAAAGGTTTTCTCCTGACATTAAGTCCAGTCGTGTCTTACTCTGGGGGTTGGTGCTCATCTCCATTTCTAAGCCGAAGAGCTGCCATTGTCCGTAGACACCTCCAAGGTCATGTGGCTGGCATGACTACATGGAGTGTCATTACCTTCCCTCCAGAGCGGTACCTATTGATTTACTCCCATTTGCATGTTTTCGGACGACTAGGTTTGCAGAAGCTGGGGCTGACAGTGAAAGCTCACGCCACTCTCCAGATTTGAACTTGTGACCTTTCGGTCAACAAGCTGAGCAGCTCAGTGGTTTAACTCACTGTGCCACCGGGAGCATGACATCCCTTTAATATACCCTTTAAAATACCACTGAAAAGTATGTTTCAGAGAAACAGATGGTCACAGCTATATACCTTAAAGCAGTGGTTCTCATCCTGTGGGTCCCTAGGTGTTTTGGCCTACAACTCCCAGAAAACGGTTTACCAGGTGTTAGAATTTCTGGGAGTTGAAAGCCAAAACATCTGGGGACCCAAAGGTTGAGAACCACTGCCTTAAAGACACAAGATCCCATTTGATCTTGGAAGGTAAGCAAGATCAGCTTTGGTTAGTACTTGGATGGGAGACCATCAATGAATATTGATGCTGTAGGCTATACATCAGAGGAAGAAACTGGAAAACTCCACTAATTAGTCCTTGCGCAAGAAAATCTTATGAAATTCATAGGACTGCCATAAGTCAACAGGTGTCTTGAAGGTACACACAGAGACACAAACACACACCAGTCACTAACAAGAACATTTCTCAAACAGAATAAATACATTTCATCATCCTGTGAAAATTGGTGCCGAATTCCACACTAATTTCTCCTTCTGTACTTCTAAAAATAGCATTTAATCGAAAGTAGACTAATGATCAGGTCTATGATACCATACATGCATGCCCAATATGACTCGTATTTGCAATCACTAATTTGATCCCAGAAGTTTTTCTAACAAAGCATCTGTTTTTTTTAAAATGTCATCAATGATTATATCAACAGCATCTGTGTAAGGAAGGGATTTTGTTTAATTGCATTTCTGGGAAAGTTCCTGCTACATGAATATCCTGATGCCACTGCCAGGCTAGCAACATGCTAAATTATTAAAAAATGATTGCTAGATAAGGTCTGGAAATATAATTTGCGCAGCTTGTTAGAAATGCCCAACAGACGGATTTTTAGAAAAAAATATTCTGTTTTCTTCCTTTGAGTTTCTTCATGGATATAAGTTGCAAAAGGGGGCAATAGTTGTGAGCCATAAATTTTGGTAAAAATTCTTTGGAGACACTGTATTCAAATTCAATTTAAATATATGTTTCATACTTTTGTTCTTATTGTTTTTTATGAACAAGAGAGATTAAAGGATCAAATATAGGTTCTAAAATGGAAAAAAATCTTGGGTTCTGTTTTTCAAGTGATCAGCAAGGCAAAACAAATATATGCCACATGCAAGGTAAATTAATATATGTCACATCCTGGTGATGGAGGAGCCGCGATGGCACAATAGGTTAAACCCTTGTGCTGCCTGAACTGCTGACCTGAAGATCAGAAGGTTGGCAGTTCAAATCCGTGAGACAGGGTAAGCTCCCTTCTGTCAGCCCCAGCTTCCCACGTGGGGACATGAGAAAAGCCTCCAACAGGATGGTAAAACATCTGGCCATCCCCTAGCCAACATCCTTGCAGACGGCCAATTATCTCACACCAGAAGTGACTTGCAGAATATTCTCAAGTTGCTTCTGACATGTGAAAAAAAATCTTGGTGACATAGGCAACTGGAGTATTAATCCCAAACTCAATTTAAAAGCATACCTTAAAGAATGAGCTTGGTTTTGAGTAGATGGAAATTTAACATACTCTCCAACATTTCACAAATGAAAACATGGATAACAATAAATGAAAATAAGCAGTGAGTAAGGTGAACCAAATATTACTACCAAATATTATAGTTATTCATGGATTCTGTATCCACTGATTCAACTATCTATGGTTTAAAATATTTTAAAAACAGAAATCTCAAAAAGCAAAGCTTGATTCTGTTACTGTATACAAGGAGCTCCAATTTACTATGTCATTGTGTAGAATGAGAGCTGAATATCTGTGAATAATTTCATTTGAAATGTTCACTGTCTATCACTAAAGATATAGTTCTCCCTCCACATCTGCAATTTGACTTTGGCAGATTTCATTATTCATGGATCTGATTCAAATGTTCTTTCTAGAAAGCTTTAGGTCCTCTGCTGCAATTTTATAGTAAGCTTTCAGCAGAAGTTGACCATACGATCATGCTGGAAGACCTAGAATATCACAGAGAGTATTCTCTCAGGTAACAAACTAGCTATTTCTTTATTCATAGTTTTGGACTTTCAGGGGGATCCTGTGCTCCTAACCCCAGTAAATGGAAAAGGTTGACGATATAGTTATAGCCTGGTCTCTGTTGCTGTGACTCTAGAAGCGATGAGGCACACTTCTTCTGCAGTGGTGCTGATATGTCGGTCTAGAGCAGGCATGGGCAAACTTTGGCACGCCAGGTGTTTTGGACTTCAACTCCCACAATCCCTAACAGCCTCAGGCCCTTTCTTTTTGCCTCTCAGCAGCTTAAGCGGCTGAGAGGCAAAAGGAAAGGGCCTGAGGCTGTTACGGATTGTGGGAGTTGAAGTCCAAAACACTTGGCGTGCCAAAGTTTGCAAATGCCTGCTCTAGAGCGTGACATTTTTAGAGAAAGCATTCTGCTCCTGTCTTTACCTGGACTCTTCTTGCCTAAGTCCTTACCTGTCACAACTTGAGCAAAGGAAGATGAGAAAAATCAAAACCAGGAGCATTGTCATGGCTGCCAAGCCTCCCCAGACGATGATATGAAGCAGACTGGTGCTGAAGAACCCAACGTCCGGTCCCATGATATAACAAGGATGTGCTGCAAAGGGCCGAGTTGCTCAGTTCCCACAAGACTTTGGCATTTGTGTTGTAAGGTGTTTCTCTGCAAAGAAGAGGAGGAAGGAAGAAGACATTAAAATAAAGCCTAACAAATATGTGGCTCACTAGATGATAGTATCTAATACATTTTGAAGACAGCAGGAAAATAGGAAGACTGGGTTGACTAAGGGTGCGTCTATATCGGGGTCCTCAAACTAAGGCCCGGGGGCCGGATGCGGCCCTCCAAGGTCATTTACCTGGCCCTCACTCAGGGTCAACTTAAGTCTGAAATGACTTGAAAGCACACAACAACAACAACAACAATCCTATCTCATCAGCCAAAAGCAGGCCCACACTTCCCATTGAAATACTAATAAGTTTATATTTGTTAAAATTGTTCTTCATTTTAATTATTGTATTGTTTTAAGTGTTTTTTGCACTACAAATAAGATATGTGCAGTGTGCATAGGAATTCATTCATGTTTTTTTTCAAATTATAATCCGGCCCTCCAACAGTTTGAGGGACTGTGACCTGGCCCTCTGTTTAAAAAGTTTGAGGACCCCTGGTCTATATTATAGAAGGTGTAGTTTCACAAGGTTTTTAGCCTTCTCTGCCAAAGAGAAAGGTGTTTCACCAAACTACAGATCCCCGGGTCCCACAGCATTGAGCAATGACAGTTAAAGTCGTATAAAACTGCATTATTTCTACAGTGTAGATGCCTCCTAAATCAATCAAGTCACAGTCCTGAATTTTCAAGACCCGAACAGGGCTAGATGTCTTGGAGGTCTCTCCTTCATGGGATTGTAACGTATTAAGGCCAATATGAAGGCAATGAACAGCAATAGGCATCTTGATGATAAAGATGAAACTATGAACTTTAATATATTTAAAATAGTTCTGAATCATCAGTAGATAAGAGCTCAACTTTAATTAATGAACTGGACTAACCAAGGAGAGACACCACATTTTGGTCAACTTTAGATTCGGTTTGGTTAACTGAGATGCTGTTTCAGAAAATTTCATTGGATAGACCACATCAGCTCTAGTTTCTGATACAGAATATATGCCATCCACTAGTCACCATCTGCTCACCCACAGAAAACCATATTTAATAAGCCTTGGCACTACAAGGGGGTTTCACAAGACTAGTTGCTCTCATGGCAACGGTGTAGTAATGGTGAGACCATGGACCCTATTTTAGTTCTTGTGGGCCGCTGGTGGTTCACAGACTACAGCTGTTGGGAACCACAGCTCTATATGTTCAGAAGCAGTTTCTGTTAATGTAACTGCTCTGCTACTGAGCCCCAGAACTGCCATATTTACAGATGTAATCCAGCACACAATTCTGCAGTAAAATCTTTAGTCTTTATATTAGGATGAGTGGTCAAATTATGTTCTTAAAGCACAATTTTCTTAGTCTGGATCCAAATCATGGTCTCCTAGATTTGACTATAAAAGTCAGTTAATTCCTATGGATACGTAAAAAGGTAAAGGTTTTCCCCTGACATTAAGTCCAGTCATGTCCGACTCTGGAAGTTGGTGCCATTTCTAAACCAAAATGCCAGTGTTGTCCGTACACACCTCCAAGATCATGTGGCCAGCATGATGGTATGGAGAGCTATTACCTTCCTGCCAGAGTGGTACCTATTGTTCTACTCACATCTGCATGTTTTCGAATTGCTAGGTTGGCAGAAGCTGGGGCTAACAGTGGGAACTCACAATGCCCCCTGGATTCGAACCTGCAACCTTTTGGTCAGCAAGTTCAGCAGCTGAGTGATTTAATCCACTGCGCCACCAGGGTTTTTATCTTATGGATAAAAATAAGAAATGCATGAGTATGTCTGATACAATTTTTTGCCAGACACATGCTATTTTGCATTAATTATCTTTGCAACTATGGGCATTTTTGAAATGCAGATGTCCTGATACTTCTAATTCAAAACAGCATATTGATTTATTTGTTAATTTGTTAAAGCCATATTGTCCTGCATAATAACCACATTATTTTTAAGACTTAAATTAAGAGACTGGGTTCTCAATCAAAGTGTAAAAATAGCAGTACATTATTGGAAGTTATTACAGAATCCAAGTACACCACCTTGAGATCATTAGTGGAAAGGCAAGAAATAAATGCAACAACCAATACATAAAAATAAATGACTCTTTTCTTTGCATGATTGGTTTTTGTATTCAATAATAGTTCCAACTTTGGGCACAGGGTGGCGGTGTTACACCGTGATTCTCTTTCAGTATTCAAGCAAAAATTGCTGGATATTATGTAATGCAAATAAAAAGCTATATTGTATACTGAGCATCTAGAGACATTTTTGTACCCAGGATTTTCAATATAATTTCATTATAGGTTAATGTTACTAATTAAGCACCAATCATTTTCTTGCATTAGCAATAGATGTTGAGTCAAAGAGAAACTCTTCAATGGTAAACCATAGAGATATAGCACTCTCTGGCTTTTTCAGGAGACCTGTGTAATCCAGCTCAAACACTTCTGAATACCTTTTTAAGGTCCTACGAGGTGGCAATAGCGGCAGCACAGAAAATGTTTCTGGCAGCCAATATTGCATCTGCGAAGAATCGTCCAGCGGAGCTCTTCCGAGTTGTCAGGGGTCTGTTACATCCGCCAAAAAGCGAGGCCTCAGACAACTCGGTGGCTCGCTGTGAAGCATTTGCTCGATTCTTCGCGGATAAAATTGAGCGGATTCGGTCAGGTTTTGACGTCATGTTAACGGCGGTCTCTGGGGATGTAACGAGAGCATCTGCTTGTCCAGTTTTGTTGGATTCGTTTCAATTGGTTCAGCTTGAGGATGTGGACAGGATCCTTGGAGAGGTGCGACCCACCACATGCATCCTAGACCCCTGTCCATCCTGGCTGATCAAGGAAGCCAGAGGGGGTTTGGCAGAGTGGGTAAAGGTGATGGTCAACACCTCCTTACAGGAAGGAAAATTTCCAGCGAGCTTAAAACAAGCTGTTATAAAACCGCTGTTGAAGAAACCATCACTGGACCCCACTCAATTTGACAACTTTCGGCCAGTTTCCAATCTCCCCTATTTGGGCAAAGTCATGGAACGTGTGGTGGCGACTCAACTCCAGGGGTTTCTGGTAGACACTGATTATCTAGATCCGGCACAGTCTGGCTTTAGGCCGGGACATGGTACTGAGACAGCTTTGGTCGCCTTGGTAGATGATCTTCACCGGGAAATGGACAGGGGGAGTGTGTCCCTGTTGGTTTTGCTGGATCTCTCAGCGGCCTTCGATACCGTCGATCACGGTATCCTTCTGGGGCGCCTCAAGGATATGGGGCTCGGGGGCACTGCCTTGCAGTGGCTCCGATCCTTTCTTGAGGGACGGTCCCAGAAGGTGTTTTTGGGTGACACCTGTTCGGCCCCACAACCGTTGTTGTGTGGAGTCCCACAGGGTTCAATTCTGTCCCCGATGTTATTTAACATCTACATGAAGCCGCTGGGGAGATCATTCGGAGTTTCGGAATGAGATGTTATCTCTACGCAGATGATGTCCAAATCTGTCACTCCTTTCCACCTTTCACCAAGGAGGCTGTCCAGGCCTTGAATCAGTGCTTGGCTGCTGTGTCGGACTGGATGAGAGCTAACACATTGAAATTGAATCCAGACAAGACAGAGGTCCTACTGGTCAGTCGTAAGGCCGAACAGGGTATAGGGTTACAGCCTGTGTTAGATGGGGTTACACTCCCCCTGAAGACGCAGGTTCGCAGCTTGGGAGTGATCCTGGACTCATCGCTGAGCCTGGAACCCCAGGTCTCGGCGGTGGCCGGGAGAGCTTTTGCACAATTAAAACTTGTGCGCCAGCTGCGCCCGTACCTTGGGAAGTCGGATCTGGCCACGGTGGTCCACGCTCTTGTCACATCCCGGTTAGATTACTGCAACGCACTCTACGTGGGGTTGCCTTTGAAGACTGCTCGGAAACTCCAACTAGTCCAGCGAGAGGCAGCCAGATTGCTCACCGGGGCGTCATACAGGGAGCATACCACCCCCCTGTTGTGTCAGCTCCACTGGCTGCCGATCCAGTTCCGAGCACAATTCAAGGTGCTGGTTTTGACCTATAAAACCCTGTACAGTTCTGGCCCAGTGTATCTGTCCGAACGGATCTCCCTCTACGTCCCACCCCGGAATCTAAGATCTTCTGGGGAGGCCCTGCTCTCGACCCCGCCTCTATCACAAGTGAGATTGGCGGGGACGAGGAGCAGGGCCTTCTCGGTGGTGGCCCCCCACCTGTGGAATTCACTCCCCAGGGAAATTAGATCTGCAACATCGCTCCTTTCTTTTAGGAAAAAACTAAAAACATGGATCTGGGACCAGGCATTTGGGCAGGCGGGCAAATAAAGAAAGAACTTTATTGATGGCTAGGAAATGACTAACGGACTGGACATGAGGAACTCTGGAAACGAAACGCTGATTATAAGAATGATCTTTATGATATTTTATATAATGTGTTATGCACCGGTTGTTGATGTTTTAACTGTGATGATCGTTTTAATTACATTTTGTATATTGTTTTTATATTTTTGTATACTATGTATTATTATGTATAGGCATCGAATTCTGCCTTCTTTGTAAGCCGCCCTGAGTCCCCCTCCGGGGGTTGAGAAGGGCGGGGTAAAAGTACCAGAAATAAATAAATAAATCTGAGCCTTGATATTAATATATCTGTCATGTCTTATGTCATATGTAGGAAAGGAAATTGGTTTTCAAATAATTTTCCAGAAGGAATGTTTAGGGTCTGTGAAAAGGTCCACACAGTTACTGAGAACAAAGTAATATCATATAATAAGCTAACAAGAATTCATCCCTATAGATTTTGCAGTTTTAGAACATACACATAGCAGAGTCATTTACAGACCAAAAAATGGCACTAAGACCCACTAAGAAACTCCAACAAATGGTCAACCGTATACCATGCAGCTGTGGACAAGTCTACATAGGGACCACCAAACGCAGCATTGCACAAACTCGAATCAAGGAACATGAAAGGCACTGTTGACTACTTCAACCAGAGAAGTCAGCCATAG